CCTCTAATAGGCGCTAAGATTACTTTTGTCATCCTAACAAACCTTTAAATCTTAAATTCGTCTGATCACAATCAAAACTAATATTGATGATAAATATGACATTATATTGTAGGTGGGAGGATGGACAGAGGTGTATGATGGACTTACATTTGCAACAATTAGAGGAGCTGGCCATGAAGTTCCATTATTTCAACCTAAAAGAGCATTTATTCTTTTCCAATCATTCTTGGCTGGCAAAGAATTACCAAAATAAATTCAGAAAATTCAATTAAGATTGCAATAATCTTGAGGAAGTTGATAGTCATAAAAAAGGCAATTTGAATATTTTATAGCTCTCATGAAAATTATGGGAGTTTTGCAAATTAGCATTAGAGTTGATTTATTTGAAATTTGTGTATTGAAACTCATGATCATTTCTCATATCTTTTTTCCATATATCTAGAATTCTCAAGGCAACTAATTTTCTATCAAGATTGCTAAACAAATCTTCGTAACCGACATTTCAAGTTTATTGTCTTTCTTTTTTTACTTATTTAGCACCTTCAACCCATACCCCTTAATCACCTCCTCCCCCACCCCCTCCTCAATCTCACCCCTTAAATATTTTTGAGATGATAGTTTTTAGTTTATTTATCAAATACTAAAAAAATAAGGAAGAAATCCACTTATTTTCCAAGAAAATATTTCCATTCATTCCACATGTTTTTAACCATTTTTTACTTTGTTTGGATAAATGTATTGCTTTATAGTGTATCGTACTATATATTGTATTGTATCATATTGTATGTATTATTTCGATGAATAAAAAATTTGGATCGATAATATCATTTTTTGTCTTTACATAATATCATAGGTCAGTAATTTGAAGAGAAAATCCAGTATAAAAAAAAAGAGGGGTGAGGGTAATGATAAAATATGATTATTAAATAATATAAAATGAGATTCGTCGTTATGTAATAATAAATTTAATGATATAATTTAATAATTTTTAAGTAATAATCAAAACAAATATTACATCTTTGAATTTAGAATCTCGAGATAAATTTTAAACCTTTAAATACCCTTGTGTTTAGGAGATTCACCTATATATATTCAGAAATAGTAAAAAAAATATCACCTATATATACAACTTAATTTTTTACCGAATAAATTCGAGTGAGCACCTTCTCGTCCTTCTAGATCCGGCCCATTCACGCATGCCCATAAAGCCAATTAATGGCAAAACCTTTTTGCACAATGTGGACAAACAAAAAAAGAAATAGGAAAGTTCACAAACAATTTAACAGACAACATATATTGTTAAACAAGACAACCTAACTTTCAAGAAAACCATCATATTTTCTGCCTAAAATCTGTGGACAAACATACATATAAATTACATGACTAGTAGTTTCTTATGTTAAAAAAGAACAATTTTACTATAATATGCCATATTTTAGATATTGAGGGTTAATTTGATTAATTTAAAAAGTTATTTTGAATTTACTAACTTTAAGAGGGCTTGAATTTTATTGAGTGTCAATTTTTAATAGACATGATGTTTAAAGAAGTAGGCATGATCTTATTATATTTGACTAATTTTGAAATGATATTTATTGTTATTCAAGGATAGACGTCGCTTTTTTTTTTAAAGAGTTTTTGGATCATAAAACAGGAATTCTGAATTATTTCGATTATATACATTAATTTATGTAATTTCTTCTGAAATATATCTAACTGAATTTGTTTTGACCCCAAATTTCTTGGATCCATTTGAGACTATATCTAGAAAATGATACTCATTATTTCTCAAAGACATACGCTTTTTTTCCGGAATTTCTAAGTCATGAAATAGCATTTTAGGATTATCTCAACTTTTTTTGTGTATTAGTCTATAAATTTGTTTTGAGTCCATTCGAGACACTTAGTAAATGATATTCATTGTTTCTTAAGGACATATATCGTTTCTTTTTTGGAATTTCTATGTCATGGATCATATCGACTTTTGATGTGTATTAGCTCAATAATATTTCATAATAATAAGTTACTAAATTTGTTTTACTTTAAATTTTGTGAATTCATACATGACGATCTAATAAATATAGGCAAAGGTATGGAACTTTTGCATTGTGGATGGTTTCACACAATTCCAGAAAGTTAGGTATGGAATGGACTCATCACCCATTCATTAGACTCTATTTATGTCATCCTACACTCTATTTGTCTTCATGTCAAAAAGACTATTTACCCCTATGTATTATAGGGACCATATAATAGGTAATTAAGAACATGTCTCAGTAGCCATGGTTGCCAAAAGCAAACTCATGTGTTAATGTATAATTGTGTGATTCATCTTTTTATTAGGATGTGTGGAGCTTATTTACGTATTTTATATATATAAGAAGTATGTGAGATGAATACATATTATAAAAAAAAGGTGATCGCTTTGACATGATTTGAAGCAAATGAATGAAAATTACAGAATGATCGAACTCGCTAAGGTTCTCGTTTCATGAGATAGTCAGTCGAATCAAGGGAGATGGTTGTGCATGCAAACAATGAAGTATGGCCAATGGAAAGGCCACAATGAGGTAAGGAAATTTAATATAGCTAGAATTGATCGAGCTCGCCTACGATCCTATTGGTCTTCATGTTAAATGACTAATTTACCCTTGTGAATAGAAGTAGGGACTTCATAGAGGTAAGAACATATGGCTTTATAACCATGATTGCCAAAAACAAACTCAATGGTTGGTGATGAATATTTTGATATATTAAAACTAGAGAACCTAATAGTTTAAGATAGAAAATTGTAAGTTGTTGGGAGAAAAGTAGACATCTAATGAAGGAGACTTCAAATACTAAACCAAGATGAAATGACCAATTACCCTATGATTATTTAATTGATAGCGTATGCTGCTCAACACTTTAAAAATATTTTTATATTCATATAAGATTTTCTAAAATATATGTACTTTTAGAGGCACAACACATATTTGATGACATTTTCGAAAAAATTAAATAACATAGGTCTATGGTATAAGATAATTACCAACATAAAATCTCTATGTTATAATCCTCACATAAAAACCAATAATAGAGCTAGAAATTTAATGAAGAAAGTGATTTTTTTAAATCTCATCTATGGTAAGGATATACAGAATAAAATATGCGTTCATAATAATTAACAAATAAATCTCAATACTCTAAAAATAATAATCTGATAAAGTGTTTGTATTAAATCACCCTTTGAGATGACTCCGCTCATAATAAATAAGATGTGAACCAAATAAATAATACCAAAATTAACCTTATCCTTTCAAATGGGTGGAGACCACATGACACCCAACAAATATTAATGGCTGACAGAGTTAAAAGAAAAGCTTCACACTCATGGTTTCCATTTTCCAATATTAGAGTTTGGTGAATCTTGAACCAAAGTCAAGAAGGAGCACTTCAAAACAAAAGGAGGGCATAATGGTAAAAGACATGATAATGTATAGAAAAAGCCCATCACTATCACAGAGAAAACATCACAACTTTAACCAAGGTAGACAACTAAATAATTGAAAATGACAAAAATACTCCCTTATGTTTGAGATAAATTAAAGTTAAGTCCCTTAAATATTTCTATGAATAGTTTTGACTTTTTGAGTTTGTCAAATATTAAATATTTTTTTATCTCTTTCAAATATTTAACAAACTTTACATGTTGAATTTAGTGAGATTTGTAAGAAAACAAAAAGATTTGATTGGAACATACATTTGGAGGTGCAATATTTGTAGTTGATGTAATTTTTGGTGTTAAAATGAAATTTATAGTGATTTTTATTTGTTGTTGATGTAATTTTTGGTGTTATAATAAAAGTAACCTATGATATTTATTGACCTAGAAAAAACATACAATAAAGTACAAAGAGATTTTATGAAAATGCTTGAAGTCTAAAGGTTTACTTGTGGCATACATCATAGCGATTAAGGAGGTGAATGATGGAGCCAAGACCCGATTGAGGACAATGAGGAGACTCAATACACTTTTTAGTCGAAATGAGGTTGCACCAAGGATCAAACTCTCAACCCATTTTTGTTTGTTTGTTGATGAATAAATTGACACGACATATTTTAGAAGACGTACCATATTATATATTATTTACAAGCACATAGTATTGATCAACAAGTCACGCAATGAAATTAACGATCGACTAGTGATTTGAAAACAAACCTTAAAATCTAAAGACAATATGTTGAGCAGAAGTAAAACAAAGTACATGGAACAACACATAAGCCACATAAAAAAGTAAAATTGAGACACAAGTCATTTTTTTAGAAAAAAAGCCAAAAAATAGGGAGATCAATAAGAATGTCACACATATACTCACTTTTGACTAATTTAATGGGTCAAAACTACATAAAGAAATATTTAAGACACCATTTTAAACCAAATCCTTAAAGTAAGGGACCATTTTTGTCATTTCCTCCAACCAATAACACCTGCCATACTAATTTGAAGAAAAGAGAAAAGAAGCATCTTCTCTTTCTATCTCATGCTCTTTTTCAGCAAAATCCATGGCCTCATCACTTTCTCTCTCAACAGAAACCCCCCCCCCCCTCCGTCCCTCACCCCGCACCCCACCCCTCAAATCCAACAAAAAGTCCACCTCATATATTACCTTATTTTTTCTTCTATTTCTACATCTATATGACTTCTACATATAGAAAGCCAAAGAAATAAGAGTGAAGATGATTCAAGAAACAAGAAATTCCACCCCCACTCCCCTAAACACCCCCCCACCCCACCTCCCACAAAATCAAGAAGAGTACACACCATCAAACTCTCTCTAATGGCCCAGCTGGACCAAAAATTATGCATAGGAAGAAAAACTCCAAAAAAAAGGAAAGAAATCAAGAATGGAAAAAGGGGAGATGTCTTCAAACTCATCTAACCTAAAGACACAGTTTTTACCACAAATACCCTTTCTGCTACAAACCCCTCACACCCCACCCCACCCCACCCCCTTCTCTCCATCTTCATCACTGTCTTAAAAGAACAACAAACAAGAAACACAATGTTTTTGTATACTATTACTGTTTTTTTTCCTTTTTCCTTGTTTACCGGTTTATGTGGGTTTGTCTTGGTCAGAGTTTTCACAGAGAACTTTCTCACCACAATACACTCTTTATCTCTTCTCCACTCCCTACCCCCCACCCCCTCAAACCCCCCAATTGTGTCTGTCTTTTCTATTCTTTCTCTATTACCCCTTCTTTTTTTCTTTCTTACCCTATTTGTGTTTGTATTATTGTTCTATCTTTTCCTTCCACACGCTTCTTTTCTCTTACTTTTCCCTCTTTTCTATCTTCTGCCGCCATACCCTTTTCTTGGTTTTGTCTATTTGCTTCAAAGATTGGTTCTTTTTGTGATTTAAGCATTTGTTTGTTTGATTTCTCTGTGATTTGATTGATATGTCTAAGAAGATGAAAAGGGTTTCTTTAGAATCATCACCTTATGTGGTGTTTGAGGAGAATAATGCTAGATTGAAGCATCAGACTCTATTGCAGGACTATCAAGTACTCTATAAGGTAAAAAAGAAATAAAAATTGGGGTTGTTTTTGGCCTGTAGTTTTGAAGATCTATGCTTATTGTTGATAATTTTTTGTTGTTGTGTGATTTTGGGGATTTGTGTAGAACAGTTTCCTGATTTGTCTCTGGTGGAGCTTCATGTAGTTAGATTTCTATTGGCGTTTTTATTGTTGAGGAACTGTTCTTGGTTTTGATTTGTTTTGTTTCCTGCCTTTTTCAGCTTGGATTTGTTTATTCAATAGTTGTTTTATGTTGGTTCTTGTGTTTTCCTTAGTTTTGTGTATGAATTGAAGGGCTTTTGTTTATGATATAGTGAGTATTAGTAATCTGGCACAATGGAAGGAAAAGATCTACTATATACAATGATATGGTTGAGAATACATTTTAGACTTTGTGCTGGTGGGAGGTAGCAAGTACATGTTGAATTAGTTGAGTTACGCGATCTTATACTGGTGGGAGGTAGCAAGTACCCGTGGAATTAGTTGAGGGTGCCTGAGTTGGCTCAGACACCGTGGTTGTAAAAATAAGATTGGGGCTATCCCTGGATTTGCTTATTCAGTTGTTTTATGTTGGTTCTTGTGTTTTCCTTAGCTTTGTGAATGAATTTGTTTATGATATGGCGAGTATTAGTAATTTGTCACAATGGAAAGAAAAGATCTATATAGATGATATGGTTGTGAATAAGTTTTAGACTTTGTGCTGGTGGGAGGTAAGAAGTACCCGTGGAATTAGTTGAGATACACGATACTTGTGTTGGTGGGAGGTAGCTAGTACCCAATGGAATCAGTTGAGGTGTGCGTAAGTTGGCTCAGGCACCACGGTTGTTAAAAAATGATTGGGGCTTTTCCCGGATTTGTTTATTCACCAGTTGTCTTATGTTGGTTCCTGTTTTTTCCTTAGTTTTGTTTATGAATTGAAGGACTTATGTTTAGAGTTGAGAACTTTGTCAGTTGCATGCCCATTGAGAAACTTAAAGCCACTTGATGCTTGTTGCTATAATAATTGTGATTTAGTGAGTATTAGTGATGCGTCTTCTGGTTTTATCTTTTGAAAAAGTATCTTTCTTTTTAACAAATCTTTGTATGTGAATCCATAATAATCATACTGTGTGGTTGTGCATAGTCAGTTAATTTACGTGCAACTCATTTGTTACAATTATTTACAGGACACTAATGACACGAGGAACAAATTGGAGGACCTGAAAATGAGGAAACAAAGATTAGTTGCTGAAGTTCAGTAAGTTTTTGTTGTCGACTTGTTGGTTTTCTCTTTCTGAGTTTTGCTCAAGTCTATGGTATTTTCATTATGTAGCGTAGGCTCTAAAAAAAAGATCGTCTGAGGTCAACTTAGTACTGGATGTTGAGGCTAAATCGTTTGGATAATTGATTGTCGAATAGATACTTTGTCTGGAGAATTTTTAACATTAGATTGATGATTTAACTATGATTCATATTGCTGTTAATGTGCATCTATTGATGCCAGAGGTGGAACTTTACCCATATTTTCACACATAGCATCGATATACATGTTAAATTACTTCGATGTCAACCAATACTAAATTTTGAACCATGGTTTTGAAAAATGCAATTGATTTAATGGTAAGTATCAAAGGTTAAATTCTGGATACTCCTCTTTCTGATGCAACTGGTTTTTGAAATGCTTGCAGAATTTTCTTTTATTCTTACTCTAAATGCATTCCGCATATTTGCAGTTTCTTGCGCCGAAGACACAAATACCTATTGCAGATGAAGTCATCAAGTCATCCTGAACAGCAAGAACGAGCAGCCCTGCTGAACTCAGAGTTTTACTGTATAAATGGGGTGAATGATCGATTTCCCAGCAAAAAGAAGGCGAAGCAACACAAACTGCCCCCTCTTCCTGGGCTGAAACAGAAAGCGAGGATTCAAGTTGCAAAGGAAGCTTCTTCGCAGAAGACGCCTTCTGATATTCTTGTGAATCACAAGCAGGCATTACATATTGGGAAAGACGCTGTTCAGCGTAGTACAGTTTCAGGTTTGAAGCATAAATCAAGAGTGTATAGTGGTAAGGAAATGCTGCTCCGAAACGCAGCTCCAGCATTTGATTTGAATCAGAATGACAGGTCATTCGCTGGGAATGGTTTTGTTTCGAGGAGTACCACACCTGTCTTTGATTTGAATCAGGAAACTGGTCATGTTGGGAAAGATGTTGTATTGCCTAGTCGAGCTCCAGTCATTGATTTGAATGAAATCTCGGTAAGTATCTAAACAAGAAATCCCAAGTTTGAACTTGTGTGTATAGATGCTATGACATTTCTATGGAAGTAAGTGTAGTAACTCATTGACGGTAAAATTGGATGCTTGAAATGAATGTGTTTTGAAATATAAAAATGCAACGTTCTTTTGGGACAGTTTATAAAGGAAAAGAGTATTGTATGAAATGGAACAGAGGAAGTATGTGTTAGACATTTGACGAGTAATGCATTTTAACACTTTGCCTTCGGCATCTCATTTTGCAGATAGGGGAAGAGGAGCCCCAAGCAAATTTTGAACCATTGAACATTGAGGAGCCAAAGAGAGGACTAATTCTAAACATAAATGATGATCAGCACAGAGACTTGAAGTTATCGATATGCAGGAATGTGGGAGAAGGAACTTCTCATGTTGAGAAGCGGAAAATATCGTGGCAAGATCCTGTTGCTTTGAGGGTTTGATCCATCCTTCAATTTTCAATAAATACCACTTAAAACTTTCGATCTAGGGCGAGTGCTATGGAAGTTGTAGCTTATCCAAAGAGGTCTCTACTGACCCTCCAGGATTTCTCGGTTATGAAAAAAAAGTTACCATTAGATGTCTTTTCCTCCCTCAATATGTAGGTATGCATTTTGCCTTTTTGTGTAAAGAAAACTCAGATATATCTAGTGATAATGATACACATGCTATATTGATTGGCAATGTGAAAATATAGTCAGCATGATTGGTTCTCTACATTAAGTAGAACATATTCAACAGTAGTTCTTGAAGATTGCTATCTTTAGTATTTTGTCATGGCTTCTTTACTTTCATTATTTCTTTTCTCGAATTGCTTTGATATGTTTTTTCTCGAGTTACATGGATATATCGGAAATAATCTCTCTACTTCTCAAGGTAGGGTTATGGTTTGTGGACACAATATCCTCTTGAGATTTCACTTGTGGGAGTAAATCGGGTATGTCAGTGGTGGTGTAGTTTTGTTGAAGAAGTTTGTGTCATATCCAATAAGGATATATTTAGTCGATTCTAACTTGCTTGGAAGTGAGACGTTACCCTTGTATGAATTGCACTTATATTTACCATGAACTACTTCAAGCAGGCTAACTTCGTAGAAATTAACATTGAGATGTGATTACAAATGAGAAAAATCTAGTCAGAATTGAGTGAAACATGTGAGGATGAGAAAAATGATTGACTTGAAAATGCACTTCTCAATCATCTATGAGCGACCAATCAAGAAATGCAAAGATACGGGGAATGGTTAGTGATGAGGGCATAGGACAGAGAAAGTTCTTTCTCACTCTTTTGAATCACAGGGATTTTCTTTTCCTATTCAGAATGAATTTGAAATGGTATTTGCAGTGAGGTGATTATACAGGACACATGAGAACACGGTCCCTTGATTGGAGTATGTGGGGCAAGTGTTTTTTTATCTCTCCTAGAATCGAGGTCATAATCTTCATACCATCACAATGTAGGAATAAGATCAACTTACACACTACCCTCTCTGACTCCACCTGTGGGATTACACGGGTTTGGGTTTGTTGTTGTATGTCAAGGCAAGGCCAATGCACCACACATCATGCACTAGGTCACATATAATGAAACACATTTCCATGATCTTTTGTCCAACCAAACGTCATTTCATAAACTGAAAAATACCCAATTATTTGAACAGAGCTAGAGTACTAAAAGAGTACATACACATCACAATTGGTAGACAAGTTGTCACAGTTAACCTTACAATCCCTCCCCTAAACTCTACATGTTAACATAACACTATGATACTCCTGAAAATAACTGAACTCAGTTATCGCCAGTGGTGAACACTTCTTCCTGCTCGTCGGGGTTAATGCTATCAACAACTGCACCCACATCATCGATCACTTCAGTTTCTTTGACAACTTCTAATGCTTCATTAACAGTTGGAGTGCTCTCAACCTTAGCAGTTTCAGTTTCTTCAACCTCTTTTAATGCTTCAATAACAGTTGGAGTGCTCTCAATTTTAGCAGCTTCAGTTTCTTTGACCTCTTCTAATGCTTCATTAACAGTCTGAGTGCTCTCAACCTTAACAGCTTCAGTTTCTTCGACCTCCTCTAATGCTTCATTAACAGTTTGAGTGCTCTCAACCTTAGCAGCTGAAGCAGCAACGCTGCTGAGCACCAGGAGACGAGCCTTATGCTTCTTCCCTACCCTGTGTGCCTCCAATGACACCTCTGACAAAGCCCCTACTTTGCACGTTGCGCACCAAAATTTGTACTTCTTCTTCTTACTAGTCTTCTGCTTTTTTGGAGTTGCATTTGCACTTTTCGTCAAGTCATCAGCATTGTGATGCAGAGTTGGGGTGATGGTGTCCTCTGCACCTTCTTTCTCCAAAATTACCAGAGATGATCTTTCCCCTGATTTGTTATGAAGCAACAATTCAACTTTTGGTTTTACCATTTGCTCCATGTTAACATTGCCGCCAGCTTCTGAAAGGTTGTTAATCTTAGGTTTCTTTGGGAAAAGACCGATACTGTAGTTCTTTCCGTTCCTCTGTTCTCGCAAAGCAGCTTCCTTGGACTTGTGTTTCTTTCCTTGGAGGTGATCATTCAGACCACGCTCACATGTTGCACTTACCTGGCAAAGTGCACAACTCCAGTCCTCTTTCCCATTTTTCTTAGGAACACTGGATGACGGAGGCTGGCTGGCAACCTCCACTGGTGGTGTTACAGCTTTTCGTTTTGCTCCAGAGACGCTTGTAATAGGCTTAGCCTGCAGCCAAAAGCTCAAGAGAAGTTCGTAAACAAAAAATGCTTCAAAATTCAATCAGATTAGTGGTGAAAGGTACTGTAATCCTATACATTTCATAAAAGCGAGATAAGTGATGAGAGCCAGATTTTACACATAATGGATGTCAGTGTAGTTTAAATGGTTGGAACGTCTGCATTTATTAAATATTCGTACCAAGCCAGCATCAGGCATAACACGAAGCTTACATCAAATTACCAGAAAACTCTACCTACACCTAATATGTGCACTGCTTTATAAAGAGATACAATAAGAGAGAAACCTCAGATCATGCTAAGCCTATATGGAGAGAATGGTTATTTACTTATGTCTCCTTGTCAATCTCTCTCCTCGGGTCCATTTAATCCACATTTAATATAGGGACTCCCCTTCTTCTACAGAGGTCACCGGCTTGTCAATTAATTTAAAATATTGGTCTCCCAATACTTTATTTGCCTATGGGCTCTCAAAGATAACTGAACAGCTAAATCATATACTTACCTTACAACAACAGCAACAACAACGTACCCAATGTACGCATACCTTTACCCCTACCTTTGTGGGGTAGAGAGGCTGTTTCCAGTAGACTGTTGGCTCAACCATAAACAGTCATTTATTTCCTAGAATTAATTGCACAATCTCCTAGAGTGTAGCTTCATCCATAACCTATTTGTTAGATCTTGAATGAACCATCTCATGAAAGTAAAGAGTAACTTAGTTACTAAAGTTTTTTTTAGGAGTTACTTAGTTACTAAAGAATAAAAGTGCAATCTCATCCATTTGCTCCCTGAATTGATAGGATGATTTGGGTATATTTAGTAGAATTATAACTGTTAAGACTAACTTCAAGCGAAGCAAAAAGTCTCAATTTGGACACACTCACCTCAAGATATGAAGCAAAACTGGTGGAGAAGTCATACTTCAAAATTACAATTTAATAATTCAAATTGTAATCCAAAACTGCAACTTAGAAGAGATGTGCACAACACTTGTTTCAACCATTTGTTATCATTTCTTAGCATTCGACAAAGAAATAGCAATTATAAGCAAAAAGGTCTCATCTTGTGGTTCATTCCCCAGCTGTGATCATTTCAGCCAAAAACAAACAACCCAACTAATTAGGCACAGAAAACAGGATCAATCTACAGCTCATTGGATCACACTGCAATATCTAACTCGCTTCTCCTACTTTAGTAACCTTGATAGTTATCAAAAGGCCCTGGCCTTCCACATTGACACAAAAAATAGAAGAAACATTTGTACACACTAATTACAGATATAAGCAAGGACATGTATTGTGCAATCTTTTTACCACAATCAGGTGAAATAGAGTCAATCTACTTCCTTATTCTTCTTGCTAGATGAGATTGACACGTTTGAGAGCTACCAAGGGTCCAGTTAAAACTCTACCGTTCAATAAAGGAGAAGCATGCAAGAAAAAGGGGGAAATAAGGACACGTGCACACACAGAAATACAAAAGGACAATGAGAGAAAGGACCTAAGAGATTGCATTGTAAGTATATGAATGCAGTCCTAAGATTAGCTGCAATCAGTAGGATATGCATCGGAGGGGAGACCCTAGTGTTAGATACAAACCAGTACAAAACATAAAGATGGATATATGCATTGACTGGTTATAGCAATTATTTTGAATTGAATCCAGAAAAAGCAATGCTATCAAACTAATCACTTCACCCAAGAGAGAGAAGAAACAAAAAATAAGAAAAACTTTACCAGAAATAGCAAGTATGATCTCTAGTTCAGGATACCAAAATGGAATAGACATATGCAGGATGAACAAGAACATACTGACCAGCAAGATGATCTTGTCTTTTTCTTTGCTAGGCTCCAAAGGGGACTGCAAGTCCGAAATCATTGGCACTGAACTATGGGATACAGGCTTCAAAACAGAATATTTTGGTTCCACACTCCGCTGCTGAAAAGGAATCTCTGGAATCCGCTCCTCAAATGGTACTATTTCAAGTCTCCCAATCTCATTTCTTGCACCCAATCTAGAGACTGATATCCCCCTTCCCATCCTGTCCTCAAGTGACCTTGCAATTCTTTCCTCTACAGACCTTACAACAGTCTGTTGCTTCAATAATGGAAGTGTGGGAGAGAAACTCATTGCAGGTGAAGAAAAAGGAGACAATCCCTCTCCACTCTGCTGTGCTAGTTGTCTTTCCATCATGAGCTCTCGTCTAACTTCCAACTCCAACATGCGTCTTCGAGCTATCTCTTCAGCTATAATCTCCTCTTTCATTTTCTCCTTCTCAATCTCTCTCCAAATTGCCTCACGCATATTGGCAGGTTGGTTTTGGATATGATCAAGTTTGTTTTCAAATTGAGGCGCCATGTAGCCAGCTGAAACTTGGGATAAACAACGCAAAGAGCAACAACTTAGTCTCAAAATACAATATAAATTGAACAATGCAGGCACCATGAAGTCAATAGAACTCAGGAGCAACAAAAAAGCCAAACTTAGAAATTCGTCTCTTCCAAGTAACTACATTTCATACCCTTCAGTTCTGTGCTTGGTTAACACAGGCATAGACAATTCCAGGACATTCAACGAATCAAAAGTCAATCTTTCTCTTAAATGAACACCATCAAGGATAAGACAAATGCTTAAGTACTAGTTAGAAATAAGTAAAGAAGAAACAAGATTACAGAAGGAAAAAAAGGCAGCTGCTTTCGGAAACACTTTCAAAATAGAGTGTTTCCTATCTTTTGGGATAGGAAATAATGCTCTTCTTAGGATATACCAATCATTTTACCAGTTATCTAAAAGCAGCTGCTTAAACAATGGAACAACTGACAAACATTTTTAAAAAAAAAGTAATCTTGAAAGTTTTTTTTGTTACAAAAAGTCGAAACCTTACAATTTAGGATTTTCCGAATCTCGCACATTTACCAACTTTTCTGAAATAATTAGGATCACCCTCTTTATT